ACTTCTGCAGCTTCTCCAACTTCTTCGTCTTCTTCTCAACCTTCTTCTTCTTCTCCTTGGCCTTCAAGGTCTTTGCGGTGTCCAGGGGCACTTCATGGCCCTTCCGTCTGCTCCAGCACGGCGTGAGATGAGCCCAGGCGTTGCTGGATAAGGCTCCCGGACTGGCACGCTTCTTCCGTTCCGGTGGTTTCAGCAGAAACCTCGAAAGCTCAAGAAAGCCACTATGATTGCAGCTTTCATGGCCATCATGTATCCGAGCTGTACATGCGGTAGGTGAGGGCAAGATGACAAGGCGATACGCGAGATCTTGCTAGAGCCCGGACACGAGCACAAGACATGAGTCCCCTTCAAAGTGACTCAGCAGAGGATGGGGAGGGAGGGATTGCAGTGCTCATCAGCACAACGGATGCAAACGGATGAGATCGTACCACGTCGAACCGATGAGAAGCAACGGCAAGCAACAAAGATCACGACGCTAACAGTATAAAAGTCTGGATTTGCGGGGAGATCCAAATGGTTGCAACGTTCCTGACTATGTGAAGAAACTCTTGATCACATCAACCGCCCACTGCACAAGCCAAAAAAAGCGCAGGAGAAAGCGCTCCTTTGCTCTGCGAGGAGCATGGAACGTTTTGTCGGGGGGAGGGGGGATTTCATTGACTGACTGGCACATGAGGTGCCAGTATCAGGCATAATGGACCTATCCACTACAAAGTCAGGGCAAGTCTGCCTGATGCACCACCTAAGACCTAGCCTTTGATGTGCGATCTGGTGGCTACAACTTGTGAGGCAAACGTGAGCGCATCGTGACAGAAGCACATGCACTGCAGCTGTGTGCTTACAACTGCAAGTTGTGAATTGCTACCCTGGAAATTTCGAAAGATGCTCAGCAAATGCGCAGCTCGCGCAAATTGCCGGTGAAACATATCAGGAGGCCAGGTGTTGCATGCTCAGTTATTCCCGAGCAGCTGTTTGCTGTACGGAAGCATTATCGCCGTGGTTGCATTGCCTGCCAGGTCTCAAAGCAAAGCTAGCAGCGCCTTTGCCTATGAAGCATGAACCCAGGGAACGTGCCTGCACCATATCAGGGGCATTCTGCTCCTCCTCCAACCATTCTTTGCGTTCTCCGTTTTCCCACCTCGGCCAGTTTGGGTCTTCGAGTCTCCCAATGCGGCTTTCTGCAGGTTGCCTTCTCTCACCAAGGTTCATTCATGATGCTACTGTGACTGCACTGGGCGCATTGCCGGGCCAAGCGATGGGCACCCTGTGAATTGCACAAGCGACCGATGCCGTGTTGTCGACCTGCTCGAGCGTCTTCGTAAGCACAGGCCCCTGCGATGTCTGCTAACGGCCTTTGCTCCAGTATCCCTCGTAGCGTCGCCCATCTGCCTAGCAGTTCTCTGAGAGTGCCAGCTTCTTGCTGAAGCAACGGCTACGAGGCCGGTGCCCACGTGAAGATGCCAAAGCCATCCTTCTGGTCGCGCGCATACTGGCCCTGCCCAGAGCAGCTCACAGTGGCGGGCTGCTGATCTTCTCCGGGCCTGGTAGCAGCGGCCGTCCACCTGCAGCTGTCTCAAACCCTCCACTCTTGGGATCCGGCCACTCGCAAGCTGTTTTTCCCCTGGAGCCGTGCTGGGTGAAACCCGCGATCTGCAGTCGTCTAAACGAGGCATCTGGACAACACATGTCGAATTACCGGAGATTGCTTGGTGTCACATCATCATCCACACCTCGCCCCGTCCAGCATCAGACATGCAGCCTGAATTCGGCTGCCACGACGAATATCAAAACGGGCACTCCATAACTGACATGTGCTAGACGCTGTTTCATCCTAAACAACTTATCCTATCTGCAGCAATCCAGAGCCAAGCCGCAGAGGACTTCCACCCTCGAACTCGCACGGGCGGCTGTGGGACCGAGCACACCGTCTTCCGCACCTGGCGCACAAAACTGAAAAACCGAGGCATTGCAAGTGCTCTCGGATGATCTCGCAGTCAACAGTTCAAAACCTCTCGCAAGATGCAGGAGAACCTGAAAATCCCAGGCAGTTGCCAAATTCAAGGCCGAAATAAGAAGCCAACTTCAGCTTGGGCGCCGCCCAGCTGCTAAGACTGCAAGCAGCAGAGACTCCAGGCTGCAGACAATCACCAGAACGGCCTTCAAGCAGACTCTGAACCAACGTTCAGTGATGCTTGCGGACATGGACCCCGCAGACCTGCTGAAAGCTCGCATGCTCGTCGAGCTTCGCAAAGCTCATGGCTTCTGCAGGAGGTGATGGCAAGAGAGGAAGGACCTCGCACGTTCGGCAAGAGCCCAAACACTGCCGACGTGACTTCGATGAGCCGCGTGGCCACTCTCAGGAGGTCTGCCAAGCGGTATCCGGCCAAAGCAAGCTGCTTTCTTGAGATCTGTCGAACCTCGGCAATGTATGTGTCCTTGGTCAGCTGGGTTCAAGCGTGCTTAAACACAAGCACTATGAACCACACAAGACCCCTGTGCGGCCACTGCATCCGAAACGGGCGCACCGGCACGGACGCCAACGTACGCATGCTGGACTGCTAGGATATGTGCTTCCTGCACCCATTTTTTGAAAACCTGCCCGACGAATCAGGAGCAGGTTTGTCTGCAGGAAACTCAACGAAGCACAGGTTACGAACTGCGCGCATGAGGAGCTCTGTTCCAAACCGCCCAAATACCGAGCTGCAGAATCGCGGCCTTCACGCAATCGCTGGGAATGAGAAAGCAGTCCATGTCTTCGGCCTGGTATTCCTCCGTGGTCATTTGAGCTGATGTTTGGTTGACGGCATCTGAGCCACAAACCATCAGTTCTGCCTCGAGACTGCTCTTTGGAAAGTCTCCTGCAAACATCGAGGTTGCTGAGATCACCGGTGCCAACAGCTCTGCTTGTTGATGCGGTCTCCTACAATGATGGAGGCATTCCGATCGCGCCATGCCTGCGCAACTTGATCTCAATCAGTCCTATTGAAGAGCAGCTCCGCATTGCATGCCAGCAACCTCTTGCGAAGAAGAATATGGCCATTCATCCAGATACATACCTCCCGCCGCATCCCAGAAAGCATGGAGATTCGTCAGCGTGCTCCAGTTGGACTGGATCCTCCGAGGGTTGCGACAGCAAGTTTAGGGTGAGTGCAGATCCATGACTAAGCATATGCTTGGATCCTGATCAAATTTCCACCACGATCCGCAAGAACATGTCCAAATCTTGTATCGTTGAAGACGCCTTGAGCGGCATGGAGCGGCTGGTGTGCGTCTCCGACGATGTGGAGAGCTTCAGGTCAGGCCGGGAGATGAAGACGTGAACCGATACACCCTTTTCAGATCCAAGAAGCAAAACGCAGCATGAGGTTCAGTGCAAAGTTCGAGCGTGAGGAGTAAAAGGTTCCTTGATAACGCTTGATAAGTCAAAAACGCTGCCATCACAAGCGACTTTCAAGTTCGGCGAGGGGCGCATGGCTTGTGTCAGAGCCCAAACTGCTGACGAATCCGCGTACGGGTTCAACTCATCAAGCGCCAGATGATCCTCAGAAAGCACAGACTAGGACAACTAGAACAGCTTCCGACAGGACAAGGGGTTCGAACACAACCTGTCAGCTATCCCATAAGCCGCGTGTCTGGAGTAAAGTCGACGTCAACAAAGTGCCATGCATTAAACCTGAAGCCGCGATGCACGGCCTGCCCCTCCCCAATCGGCTCGCATGAAAGTCTGCTGCCCAGAGGCTCATTCAGTGCCGTCGCAGGCAAACCGCGGCAATAGAGCGTGTCATTTCGAAGGCACTTGATGTGATCCGGCCAGACTGCGCTGTTGACAAAATCTGACATTCCAGGAAAGTCGCCACTCCATGTTGCGAGAATCCTCTCGGCTTTCCGAACTTCTTGTGGGCTCAAATGCATCTTGGCAATCTGCGCCACTAGGACATGCCCTGTGTCCAGCCATGCGTTGGACAAGGGCAGGCCCAGAGCAAGTCCAAGATGGCTGCATCGCATGAGAAGATGAAGACAAAAGCATGCAATGAGAGAACAAGGCTCTGCTGGATCTGACCAACTTCTGCTTCTCATGCGAAGGCAGCCCAACACAACTTCACTCAAGATAGTTCATGGTCGAAGCACGAAGGCGATGGTATGTCATATGAGTGAATGAACAGCTAGTGACTACGTCGTCAGCTGACGCATTGCCAAGCTCGACGAGAATGGCTAATTTTGAGGCTGAGCTGACATGGCTGGAAGCACGACTCTTCTGTTTGCATAGTTGCATCTCGTCGTGCGCACAGAGACCCACCAGCTTCTGTGTGCTGCAGTGCTAAGCTCCTGACCCACTTGTAGCGACCGCATCCGTTCATGGTTGAAGCCTTCGACATTCTGGCTGCAAGAATGCTTGACGCAGGCAGCCCCGGCAACAATGATGAGGGGCACAGCAGCCAGGAGCTGGGCCATCCATCTACCTCTGTACTCGCGTCCATCAACGCCCATGTAAATTCCTGGTACCGAGAAACTTGCCAATGCGTACATCCGCACTTGTCTCAAAGCCAGGGGGCCAAAACCATCGATCATGTTCATGCACCACTGCCTCATTTGCAATTTCGCAGAGAGTGTAGATGCTTGTACACCATACATGCGAAAGTAGCCACGGCTGCCCCTACTCCGAGTTTACAGGACAAGGTCATCTCAGAGTCGTGCCCTTGGTACTTTGACCCATCTGGCCACTGGTACTCCTGGCCGACCATAGCGAACGCTGCGGATAGCCGCAACGATTCATGGCAAGGCACGGGTACTGCAGTGCGCCTCGGGCAAAACATGCCGAAGAGACGCCGCTGCCGCTCTTTTTGCCGCGTGAAAACTCTCCGATGAATCGGGACTTGTCGGGCCATGACTCCGTGCCAAAGCCATCCTGGACAGCGGAAACAGATTGTGCGAGAGTATAGAGAGCATAAACGTGCACACAACACAGGCGCAGAGAAAACATAGAGGGAGACGAATAGACAAGATAGACATCGAATGCTTTCGGGACAAGAACAACACAAAAGCAATGAGGAAACAATAATTGAACAAACAGACTGACAGTAACAGTCACTGACAACCAATGTGCAGAATGCTGACCTGGCGTTTACCCTGCAAGCACTGTTGACGGAGCGACTTGGAGGCAAGCTCCGCTTATTGCCAGTCCCCCGAAAAGATGGAAGGTGCACCAGTTGTGACTTAGACTTGTGCTTTCCAGAGCAATTCAGGCCTGTTCACACGTGACAGGTCGCAACGTCCTGGTCACAACGGCATGCTTCTGCTGTGGTTTTTCGCTGTTGGGAAACTGCTCCGGCATGATAGTACTAACAATTTTAAGACTACTGATGATAGCAATAGTACTGGCAAGGATAAGAACCAAAATAGTAACCAATCAATAATAATCATAGTAATACTCGCAATTCGAATAAGAATAACAATACCACAAGCAATACGAGCAGCACAAGTAGTAACAACCAGAACAATAGTAGTAGCAGTACTACTTAGTAACAGTAGTAGTTGTTGTCGTCGCGGTAAGAACAGTACGGAAAACAAACATAGAAAGAGTTGTAGTACCAACCAAAAATAAGACTAATGACTAATACTACTGAGCCGTAGAGAATGTAACAATAGTTAGGACAGGAAGCAGTGGAGCGTAAGTTTTTC